CCCAAAAATAATAAATAAACGTTAAAAAAAAAATAAAAAAAAAATAAAATTCTAGATTGGTAATACGGAAATTGGGTTAAAAATATAAAGAAGTTTATGGTGAAGTCTCCTCCCACCTCCCTTCCCCTAATGCCAATTTTCCTCCACCCTTAGCACATAGCAGTAACCACTATTACAGGCTTCCTACGTATCCTTCTAGATTAGTTTATTATGTACCTAAGGGAGAATATAGTGCCTGCTTTTTTTCATTTAATGGATCTTAGAGTAAGATGTCGGTCTTAGCTTCCTTCTTTTTAAAAATTTTTTTTAGTGTTTATTTTTGAGAGACAGAGACAGAGCACAAGAAGGGGAGGGGCAGAGAGAGAGGGAGACACAGAATCCAAAGCAGGCTCCAAGTTCTAAGCTGTCAGCACAGAGCCTGATGTGGGGTTTGAACTCATGAACTGTGAGATCAGGACCTGAGCTGAAGTCCGGCACTTAACTGACTGAGCCACCCAGGTGCCCCAAAAGCTTCCTTCTTAAAAAAAAAATTTTTTTGAGGGTGCCTGAGTGGCTCAGTCAGTTAAGCGTCCAACTTCACTCAGGTCATGATCTCGGTCTGTGAGTTCGAGCCCCATGTCAGGCTCTGTGCTGACAGCTCAGAGCCTAGGGTCTGCTTTGGATTCTGTCTGTCCCTCCCCCACTCATGCTCTGTCTCTGTCTTTCAAAAATGAATAAACGTTAAAATTTTTTTTTAATTAAATTTTTTTTAGCTACATAGTAATTTAAATAATTTAACCAATTCTCTGTTGGTAGACAAGTTATTTTTAGCCTTTTGCTATCACTAAAAATACTCCACTGAATAACCTGCAATTTTGTTCCTTTACTAGTATATCCGCAAAGATAAATTCCACAAAGTAGAATTGGTGGATCAGAGGCATATACATTTTATGTTATTTTTTATTTATTTTGGGGGGGGGGTATATGCATTTTACATATTGATAGATAGTACCAAATTGCCCTTCATAGAGGCTGTCAGCAGTATAAGAATGCCTGTTTTCCCATGGTCTTTCCAACAAAATGTATAAAATTTTTGAACGTTTTCAACCTGTTAAGTGGCAAATTGTCCCAGGGTGGATTTAGTATGCATTTATTTTATGCAATTGAGCATCTTTCTGTCAAGTTTAACTTTGGTTCTTGAAAGGTATATGGTATATAGAGAGAGAAGTGTATAGATATGTGTATATACATATGTATATGTATATATATATGGAGAGAGAGAGAAAAAGGTTACTTGACCACATCCATTAATTAGTCAAAAGGGCATAGTTTTATCACAGATAATTTTGTATCCAATGAATAATAATATCAGTGTCTAGCAATGCCTAGACTTTTGCAAAGGATTTTATGTATTTTATCTTATTTATCCAGTATTCAATGAATCTATAAAATATTTGAAAAGCCTGGTCCATTGTTCAGTCCTTTAGATGTTTGCTGTTTAAATGATATACCTCAAAGGCTTAGCATATTTTAAATATAGTGCTTTAGTGAATAGAAGTTGGTGATCCCTCCATAGTGACTTTTTCAGGAAGACTAATTCAGTGGCAAGTGGCAGTGCTGATAATGAATCTACAAACAGAATCAAAGTCCCAAGTTGATTAAAAAAAGTTTCACTCTCCACCTGTCCACCTAATGTTTGAACCCTGAGCAAGTGCTTCTTCAGGCTCTGTTGCATATTCAAGTGTCTTAACTCCCTGTCCCATTCAGCATCTGGACATTCATACTGCCCTAAACAAAGTCATACTCCTCACTGGCCTCCTCATGATTCATCAGACCCTACAACTGTGCTGAAATGCGTTTGTTTTTAGTTGAGAACAACCTCTATCCATCATAGTTTGCTCTGTTTTACGTATAGGCTGTTTTGAAGTATTCACCCTCAGTTTAATGACCATTGAAAACCACTCTCTCTTTTTTGAATGTTTATTTTGAGACGGAGAGAAGGAGCACGATCATGCAAGCGTGTGAGCGGGGGAGGGGAAGAGAGAGAGAAGGAGAGAGAAAATCCCAAGTAGGCTGTGTGCTCCCAGCGAACGGAGCCTGAAGTAGGGTTCCATCTCATGAGATCTTATGGTTGGTGATGACCTAAGCTGAAATCAAGAGTCAGACACGTCACTGACTGAACTACCGAGGTACCCTGAAAACATTCTTCATAGATTAATAAAATATTTCCTGGTTTAAAAAATTTAAATACCTGTAGAGAGTTTTATCTTTTTGGTTTCTTTCTTTTTTTTTTTTTTTCTCTTATAAGTTATAAAGTCACTTATGTGTATAGGCCTAGAGAAAATACATATAGAGAAAAGAAAATTGCAAGGACAGGAAAACTCTAGTCATTCAGTGAAACAGAAAAGCCAAAGCTGAGCACCCCTTGGTACATGTGTCGGGAGATCTCTTTTTAGTGTTACGATAGAAATTACAGTGATGTCTATTCAGTGAGTATCTGCAGACTTCCCTTTCTGTCTGCTAACCAGGCCTTATATTTGCCTTTTTGACTATTAGTGAAGAAAACAATCTTTCATCAGTTGGGTAAACTGATCCATTCCCTGCTGACTTTGTGGATTAGGAACCTGTAATCATGGTCTGGAATGGCTTAGGATCTTAAGATCATCATTACAGAAGCAACTCAATGATGTTCATGCCTGCAGTCATCAGAATGTAATGACAGAAGTTGTGTTAATGCCGAGGGCTGAATAGAAGAGAGTCTGGTAAGGAGATGAAATAAGGATAGAACCCTTGAAAGATTTCCAGCCTTATGAAATCTACTTATTGGAAGCTTCTGCCAGAGGCTGAGGTGTGTCTGTGTATCTGGTTGGGTGTGGAGAACTCTCTAGAGCCGAAGGGCAGCCTGTTCTGGTCCCAGGTTTGCAAAACACACCACCTACGTGCTGACCTGAGTATAAGCATGAGGGTGTGAAGTTTCTTTTTTAC